TTCGCTGCTCGACCTTATCTTGTTGGCAAGTGAGGCATGTTCGAACATACTCCTTCACATCAGTCCCCATCTTCGGCCAGTAGAAGGTCCTCTCCATGAGAGCCAAGGTTCTATGAATGCCTAGATGTCCAGCCCAAAGGGAATCGTGACACTCTTTTAAGAGTTCATGTCTCAAATTGTCCACTTGAGGAATATAAACCCTATTCCCTTTTGTGTAAACGAGTCTCTCCTGGACCCAAAATCATCATGCCTTGCCTTCTTTGATGAGTTGCATCAGAGTTACTGCTTGGGGATCACTGTACAGTCCATCCCTGGTCCTAAAAAGGAAGTTAGAGTGCAACTGACTTGCTTGGCCTCTACGCTCCAATTGTATGGCGTTCACTCGCTCCACCTTCCGGCTCAATGCATCGGCCACGACATTTGCTTTTCCGGGCTTGTACTCCATTGTCATATCAAACTAAGTCAGGAAGTCCTGCCATTATGCTTGCTTTGGGGAGAGTTTCTTCTGAGTTTGGAAATAGCTCAAAGCGATGTTGTTTGTCCTCAGCACAAATCGCGATCCAAGAAGATAGTGTCGTTAAACTCGTAGACAGTGGACCATCGCTGTCATCTCCTTCTCGTGCATCGGATACCGTCGCTCGGTCTCGTTGAGCTTGCGGCTTTCGTAGGCTACCGGATGACCCTCCTGCATGAGTACTCCCCCAATAGCGAAGTTTGAAGTATCTATATGAACTTCAAATGGCTCCCCATAGTCTGACAATTTGAGCATCGGTTCTTCCAACAAAGTAGCCTTCAGATCTAGGAATGCAACTTCACATTTGTTAGACCACCTCCAAGGCTGCTCATTCTTCAATAACTCCGCCAGTGGAGTTGCACGCTTCGAATACCCCGCAATGAAGCATCGATAGTAATTGACGAAACCAAGGAAGGATCTCAACTCTAGCACCTTCTTTGGAGTTCTCTATTCCGCAACTACTTGCACCTTTGATTGGTCCATCCGAATGGAGCCATCACTGATTCGATGCCCCAAAAACAAGATCTCTGTTTGAGAAAAGTAGCACTTCTCCCTCTTCACGAACAAAGTGTTCTCCCTGAGAACCTTGAAAATTGTTCGAAGGTGCTCGATATGCTCCTCGAGCGTTTGGCTGTAGATGATGATATCCTCCAAGTAGATGACCACAAACTTATCCAAATACTCTTTGAATAATTGGTTCATAAGAGTGTAGAACGTGGCCGGAGTGTTGGTTATGCCAAAAGGCATCACAAACAACTCAAACGCTCCATACTTGGTCACACAAGTAGTCTTCGCTTCATCGCCTTCAGTAATGCGCACCTGCTAGTATCCCGACCGGAGGTCGAGTTTGGAGAAATACTTGGCCTTGCCCATTTGGTCGAATAAGTCTGCAATGAGTAGGATTGAATACTTGTTCTTCACTGTCACTTTGTTGAGGGCTCGATAACCGACGTATAGTCGGAGGCTCTCATATTGTTTCTTTTGAAAGAGAACTGGAGCTCTGAATGGTGCTTTAGAACTGCAGATAAGACCACCGCTTAGTAGTTCATCTAACTGCTTTTTGAGTTTTGCTAACTCAGGAGGGGGCATGCAGTATGGTGGTCTCGCTGGAGACTTCACTCCTAGTTCCAGCTCGATATGATGATCCACGCCTCTGCGTGGCGGTAGAGTCTTCGACAACTCGGGTGGCATAATGTCTGTGAACTCCTTCAGCACGTTAGCCATGATAGCAGGTTCATGAATGGCCTTCTCGTCAAGTGGCTCTAGCTTCATAGCAACCACGAATGTTAATTCTCCTTTTCATACCCCTTTCTTTAGTTGTAATGCCGATATCTGTTGGGGTTCCCCTCCGAGAGACAAGAACCACACAGGGGTCGTCACCTCCCATCATACATAAGGAGTTTAGGAACAGCATTGGCACTGACTTCGCTGCGTGCATGAATTCCATTCCAAGAATCACTTGGAAGTCGTCCAGTGGCACCGCCATCATGTTAATACTCCCGCTCCACGTTCCGATCTTGATGGGAACTCCCTTTGCCAACCCGAAGATTTGCTTGGCCTCCGAGTTCACCGCCTTCATTCGATTTGGGTTCTTCTCTAAGATCAGCCCAAGTCGCTTTGCTTCTCGATCAGCAATAAGGTTATGGGTAGCGCCCGTATCCACCATTGCACAGGTTATTTGGTCATTTAGCTCAATGTCCACATACATCAGCTCGCTACTCCCTACTTTCAATGGCTTTGCCTTCATGTTCTCCCCCACTTGACCCTACAATGCATTAACAAACGCATTGCTCCCATTCGGGGACCCTGCGACTTTTCATCATCACTGGTAGATTCTGAACTACTTGAACTAAGGGCGACGGCTTTGCCCTTGTCTGATTTGGGGGGATAGACGGAAGCTGTTAAAGTAATGAATGTATGTTTTTGTGGGCACTCCCTCACTATGTGTGGCCCTCCGTATAAGAAGCATTCGCTAGTCTTCGGGGCCTTACCTTTTGAGCTTGGCCCTTTGTTGGAACTCTTCTTCCTTTGTTCGCCCCCGGGCTCCTTCCCTCGAGAATATTTTGGAGGGCGATTTCCTGAAGATTGTTTCCTTTTTCCCGGATCCTTAGAGGTAACAAAGTCGATGAGCCTTTCTACGACAACAATCGCCCCGATCATATCGGTAACATTCCTTCGATGCAGTTCTTGTTGAGCCCAAGGCTTCAAAACATCGAGGAAGCTGAACAGTTTATCTTTTTTGAATATGTCCTGTATGTCCAGCATTAGTGCAGAAAATTGCTTTACGTAGTCTCGAATGGAAGTACTTTGACGGAGTTGTCTTAGTTTCCTCCTTGCAACGAACTTTGTGTTCTCAAGTAGAAACTGAGTTCTCAACTCCCGCTTTAAGTCCTCCTATGTGTCCACCCAACACCGACCTTGTTGGATCTCCTTCCAATGGGTTCACCACCAAAGTTATGCATCCCCATTCAAATATATGGTTGTTATTGAAACTTTGGTATCTTCAGAATCAGGCCTTGTAGCTCGAAAGTACTGTTCCGTGTCAAACAAAAAATTCTCGAGCTCTTTTGCATCCCTAGCACCTCCATAGCAATGAGGCTCAAGTGCCCTCAAAATTTGTGACGGTGTAACGCGGGTGTTGCTCCCTCCCGCAGTTAGTGCCCTTATGAGTGCTGTCACTTTAGAAGTGAGTTATGCCACAACTTTGTGCAAATGTTGCACCGGAGCATTTAGTATCATCTGTCAATCGATCGACTAGAGTCTCAACCTTGTCAATTTGGGATTCAGCTTATTGCGAGCTCTCTACCCCAAGAAGCCTTCGCTGGCCTTGGTAGAGTTCCTCTAAGCTCGCTTCAAGAACATCTAAGCGGGTTTCCGCCGTTGTGAGTCTCTCCTTATGGCTCTTCTTTCCGGTTGGCACTCTAGATTGCGCCTCCTTCGCTCGCGGAGAGTAGCCAATTTCTCGCTCATCATGTTCGCTGCCACGATCCTCCAAAGCGACTCCAACGATATGAGAGCAAGTTTGCACTTGCAGCACACCTGCGACTAGTTGGGGCAAAGGTTCGGCTTGCCCCACCTTGCTTGATTCGCCACGATGTTTTGCCATAGCGAAATTATGAAGTTCCTTCGCTGCTTGCTCGAATTGCTTGCCCGCTCTGATACCACAATGTCACGGACTTACTTGGAAGTGCCTAAGTCATGAAGCACCCTTATGGCCAAGATGCAAACTTAGCTTGAGTTACCTAAGTCGCGACGCACCCTTACGCCAACTTCTCGGACTTAGTTGGGATTGCCTAAATCTTAAGGTGTCCTTGCAACATATGCATCCGCAAAGGTTCAGCCTAGTTACAACCTCGTACAGGTCCCGAAAGACTTGTAAAATAGAAAGTTGATTAGATTGAAAACGTGCGACAGAAAAGTCCCGACGTCTCGCAAAGAGGGAAACTTTACAAGTAATTCAGCAAGCACCTTGTGTGCATAGAAGAAAAGAGAGAGAGGAGGAAACAAGGATTTTAGAAGGTAGAACGAATAGTTGCAAGTCCACAAACAACTGCTCATCGGGTGCCGGGCGCAAAGGCAAGTTCCCGTTAAGTCAACGTGCGAACTTATGAAAATTTTTCAACCCCCGACAATATACCGAAGACTCATCCAGCCCTATGCCACCCAGGGTGTTCCAGGATGCTGAGATGGCTGACATTTTGTGCGCTGAAGCGAGCTGTAGAAAACAGCTCGCAGCACATGAAAACGGAGCCATTTTGGGGCTTTTTAGCCCGACGCGATGAGTGGTTGCACTATACACTATAACCTATTCGAACATGCATTTTTACAAGCAAAAACACATAAAACCAAGGCAAAACAGGTTGTCGTGTCTTTGTTCAAGCACACAAAAGCGACGAGTGGTTCGTTGAACGAAGTTGTTGCGAGTGCGCGATGACCGTTCGTGACAGCCCGTTACCGGACGGTGTATATATATATATATATATATATATATATATATATATATATATATATATATATATA